TCCACTGCACTGTCTGGACAGCACCATTCAACTATGTAAGTAACTGCAGTCAGACTTGCATGTTGGAAAGAGCAGGGAACTCGTGAGGCAAGAGAGGGAGGATGTTAATGTATGTGCATGCAATAGAGGATTCGGAACCTATTCAGAAAAATAAAAACATAATGTGAATCCTGCTATATCAGACCAAGTATCCATCCACTCCAGTATTCTCATATTGACCAAGAGGATGTTTTCAAGAAGCTCAAGAGCACAATATGAATGCAATAGCACCCTCCTGTCTCTCTCCCACCTCCAAATAAAATCATCTTTAATGGATTTTGAATCTTAAAGTTCCATTAACTTACCATGGCAATAGCTGGACATTAGACATCTTCTTCCCCTATGAATTTGTCTTATCCATTTTAAAGCCCTCCAAACCATAGCCACCAGTACATCTTGTGAATAAGTCATTTATTTAGTCAAATCTGCAGCTGATCAGTGTAGATCTTGGAGAAATCTGACTCAAAACAGATTTGGTTGAGATGCATTTGGAATTGCCCAAAGTTTGTTGGATAGAGTTACCAACTTTTGCAACAGCTTGGTAGTTGCTTGGAATTAGAAGTACAGAGGCTGCTATTACACTCAGGACTTGTTTGCAGACCTCATGCAGGCTCACCACTGTCAGAATAGGATGTTGAACTAGAGAGAGCCTATGACTTGATCCAGCAAGTCTCTTCTTATGTTCTTGGCTCCTGGAGATGTATCTTTACCATACATTAGTTGGTGGGAATATTTACCCTCTTGTGGAAAACAGTAACCTGTTGATTTCTCTGTACATCTTATTGCTGCTAAAGGAAATGAAATTTCTTTTGTATCCCATTGACAATGCTGTCCAGTTGGCAGTATCAGTGCCTGTGGTCTGTTGGATCTCCTATGGGAAACTACCTTATACAGAGTCATTGGACCCTTTGGCTCAGTATTGTCTATACTGCTTGGCAGCAGCTTTCTGAGGTTTCAGACTGGAGTCTCTCCCAGCCCTACCTGGACGGATTGACCTTGTGGGATAACCAGCTTCAGATAACCAACGTGCTTAAGTCTCATTAATGCATGAAGCGGTTAAAACCATAGAGTAAGCTGACCTGCCAGGCTTAGTGATGTCCATTGCCCTTACCTTGGGAGGAAATAGGTAATCAGGCCTATTGTTATCCTTCAGTTTAACTGAGAAGCTCAGCGTGTGAAGAGGTTTGAATTTGGGGACTTCCGGGTTAGCGCCATCGCCGAATGGCGGACTCCCTCCGAGCTCCGGAGGGAGTCTGCTCGGCAGGGGCTGGGTCCTACCACGCCGGCGACGCGGGGACCCTTAAAAACCACGGGCACGGAGTCCGTGGACATGGGTGACTCGGCTTGCACCATTAGCGCCCTCCTGACTCGTGAAGGAGCCTTTTTAAAGGCTCCGGATCGGGTGCCGGGGAGTGGCGTGGTGCTTTGAGTCCACTGCTTTCCCTGCCGAGCGCAGCCGCATGCCATTCGGCGGAGAGCGCTGACTTCTTCTATTGAAAATTTGGACTATTAACAACAACCCGTGAGTAATTGGGAAACCGGGTTCAAAATTTTGGATTTGGCACGAGCGGGGCGATTTAAAAAGGAAGTCAATCCCCCCCCCTATTGTAAACATTCCAAAACAAGGACTGGGTAACCAAGGTCCAAAGGGAAGTATGTCTTTGATAAAAATCATTAATTTCACGATGGGAAATTATAAGAAATGTGCTGGAGGAGAAGAGTGGAGGGTGAGAAGAAAATGCAACCCCCCCCCTGGGAACCGGGGCGATTCGTGGAGCTTGGTGAAGAGAGACGGAGACTTTGACAGCTGTCAAAGTGGCTGTCAAAGCTGGAGAATATAAAGAGGACTTTACGAGGACCTTGCTGGTTAATTTTGTTACAATTTGCTATAATATGGATATAAACTGTTGGAAAATAAGCAACAATTTGACTTTTGGATTAGAGGATACAAAGTTATTACAATCCCCCTAGAGGGGTTTCGGGATACTACAAGAACGGTCGTAAGTGGAAAAATACCCTGGGATTCGCACAGGATTTGTTATCTTCTGGGAAAGCTGCAAAACTGAAAGAATATTTTGTCTACAGAGGAAGACAATGGAATTCTTTATTGAAGAAAGAAAGGGACTGGACGTAAGTTTTTGTTCCTGAATAACAAACCTCTGCAGAGACACTAGATTTCTGAATTAGAAAGTTTTAGCAGCTGAACAGGACAAGAAACATGAGAAAGTGAGGAATAAGAAGAATAAAGGACTGATTACGACACGGAAAGAACAACGGGAGGAGTGGTAAAGATCAAGGAAATTAAAGGCCTTTGTTAGATTGGACATTTGAAGTCAAATATTACTTAAATTAATAAACTAAAAGAAAACCGGCAAGATGGAATCGGGAGAAACCTGATCATGAAATGAGACTTCCAAGCTGATAACGTATAGACTGATGGACATGGGGAATTCAAACCGGGAAGGGGGGAGATTTGAAATCCAAAGGCTGTGTAACTATTTTTTGAATTTTTCTATATCTCTTATTTTCTATTTCTTTACATAACTTACGCATGTTATTTTACTTTGATCGGACGTGTTTAAAAAAAAGGGAATTTGTGGAAGGAACTGGGGTGGATCTTGGGGAAAATCTTTTCTCTTTTTCTGTTAATGATGTGGGACGGTGGTAAGATTTGTACAATTCAATCTGGATAGTGGGTTAAATAAATTAAGCTTTAAATTGGGAGTGAGAGCTTGTAGAACCAAATTAAGGAAAGGGGAATACAATTGGGGGGGGGAGGGGGGGAGTCCCAGAAAGTAGGGAATGAAAGTAAGGTTTTTAAATATCTTTTTTCTTTTGTCTTTTTTCTTTGTATTTTTATATTTTTGGAAACTTTAATAAATATGATTTAAATAAAAAAAAAAAAAATGAATTTGGTTGGTGCAGCTCAGACCTTATTGCTCCCACAAGCCACTCGAGCTCCAATACCAATAATATAGTAACTTTTGCCACTCTGGAATTAAGTTTTACTGCCTGTGCAGTTTTTCTGAATGCTGTATGGAAAAGCACATGAATCTGACCTTTGTAGAGTTTGTAAGCAAACCATTTTTAACTTACCAAATGTATGGTCTTTTTCTATGCTAGGGGAAATGGAAACTTTTCAAAAAACTTGAAAGGGCATATTATTCCCATGCTTTACTTTGCTGCATACTTTGTGATTTTAAATCTCTGCTGGGGTTCTTTCAGCAAAGAGTACTTGCCCCAACACTTGAATCTCAACATCCAGGAATTCTCCTTTTATACCTATATTTTCCTCACCATGAACAGAACCTGGGACCTTCTGCATGCAGGCACTCTAACACTGAGTTACAGTCCTTCTGAATCTGGCTCAACTGTATTCTTCTCTCACTTGGTGATTATGCAAAAGTAAATGTTCATGGGAGAATCCTTCCTTCCTTCCTTCCTTCCTTCCTTCCTTCCTTCCTTCCTGTGATAGCTGATTATCCAAAACCACCTTCACCCATAAACCTTCAGCAGCATGGCTGGAAGCCCCTGTCATCTAATCTGATGGAAGAGAAACTGATGTGATGTTGATATGCTGCCAGTGGGATAGTAGTGCCAATCAAATAGAACAGACTTCCAAATACATCAAATTCCATGCAAAGTGAAGACAATTATGTTCAAAGTGCCCTAATTGTTAAGGACAGATGCTTTGCCACCCAACAAAATATTGTTGTTGTGTGTTCTCCCTGGGGTGGTGGGGAAAAGTTACAGGATCAGAACAACCCAGTTTTGTTTTTCCATTGGTAGGCAAAGCACTGGAAACACAACATTTGTTTGCTTTATTTACAGCTACTGGCCAATCATGCATTTATTGATTGATAGGTAGCTACTGGCTGCCGTTCAGCCACTGGAGTGACACCAACTGGCCATTGTTGGCTATTGGCATACAGTCCCCCTTTTAAAGGAATAGTTGCCCAGCAACTCTAAGGCTACAATCCTAACCTGACTTACCTGGGAGTACGCTCCATTCAGTTCAGTTGGACTTATTTCTGAGTAGACATGGTTTGGATTGCATTATTGCATGCTCTTCTTTACTCAATTCAGGCTAGTTCAAGCATATACATTTCCCTCTTCCTGACAGGGAACATTGTCAGTTTTCGTGGCTAAACCCCGAGAAGAAAAGAAAATGTGTATAGCAAGAATGGGCTGAGGACATCCATTCATCTCCTGTGCCTATTCTGTTTATGAACAAGCAAATGCTCTCACACAAGCCAGTGGTATCCCTATTGTGAAACTGACTGGGTGCCAATAATATTTATGATTTGCATAGAGCTTTCATCTCAAAAAGCATATTACAAATATAAATGAGGCCTCACAACACCCTCTTTCAAGCGTTTGAGCATTATTATCCTTGTTTTTCAGATAGGAAAATCGATGTCGGATGTTTCTGCCGGCTTCCTCAAAGCTACAGAGAGAAAGAATATGTGTCAGAGACAGGATTAGAAGAGAGCAGAGATGGATATTCACAACAAAGTTTGCAGCTATTAAATTTAATGGATTTTGAAGGCAAAAAGAAAAAATCCATGCGCAAAGTCCTGTTTGATTTTCTGAGTCTTGAAGGTGAAGGTTGAATGAGGATTTCCCATACACAAGGGCAGAAGAAGCTGAAAATTCTACAGGAATAGCCTTGAATGGTTGGAATGAAATCATCCACCATATGCTGAGTAATTAACACTGTACATGTCAATCAACTCTCCATGTCAGTGACTTTCTTACAAAACCACCATTACTGGAAATACTGGTACATCTATTTGTTTATTTTGCTTCCAAAAAAGGTATTTCAAAGTCTGGAGAATACAAGGAACATAGGAAGGTGCCTTATACTGAGTCAGACTATTGGACCTTCAATCTGAGGAGTGGCTACATTTACTGGCAGCAGCTCTCCAGGGTTTCAGATTGGGGTCTCTTGCAGCTCTACTAGGAGGTGGCAAGGATTGAACGTGGGACATTCTGGCTGCAAATCAAATGTTCCACCACTGAACTACACCCTTCCCTGAAGCTGATAGAGAAAGGTTTGCTTGAAGGCTCAAAAAATATATACAGTGCTGACTACTGTTCAATGGGCAGTCTGGGTATGCTTAAGGACTTGATTATGTTTGGCAGGAGTTTTTAATCTAAGGAAAAGAAAAGCAGACCCAACCCAATATCCATGCCATCTCCTTTTAGTGCCTTTCTGTTGGGTGGGTGTGGGGTGTGGGGGTACTGAGAATGTTTTCACCCAAATATCTTCCTTGATAGAGATCACATGTATGATTCCTTGTGACAGAGCTTTCCCAGTGGTGATGGGACATGGAATTTCATTTCATTTCATTTAGCAAATAAGTGCATGGAGAAAGGCAAAATCTGAAGGGTAATTATGTTCCTAACCACACATTAATCTAGGGGATACAGATCAGGTGAGTTCATTTCATATCAGAATTCATGAAGATCTAATTCCTCAAGTATTCCTAGGGATACTTCTTAAATTCTTATCTCAAATGCTCCCTGGATTTTGGAGATCTGAATTATCCATTCTTGCTTCCAAAGCAGAGGACTCCAAATTCCTCTGTTACATGATGATGATGATGATGATGATGATGATATAAGAACACAAGAAGAGCTTGCTTGGTCAGGACAGTGACTCATCTAATCCAGCATCCTTTTCTCACCATGGCCAACCAGCTTTCTGTGAGAAACTTACAAGTAGGATTTAAACCCTCTCCCCTCCTGCTGAGCACCCTTGCAATTTCTAGCAACTGGCAGTTTCTGCAACCACACTACTGCAATTTCTAGCATTACTGCCTCCAGCCATCAAGGCAGAGCATAGTCACCATGTATTGGTCTAAAATTTTAAAGCTATACAAGGTACTGGCCATTACTATAGAATATGTGCTGTATGAAGAAGAGTTTAATGATGATTTCCCAGTGTTGTCAAGAGTGCCCTGTGCACAATTCAGCTCAGGCTTCCATTCCTTCCATTCATTTCTGTCTTCATTTCCCCTCTACTTCAATGTACCCATTGGTATAAAGCACTGCAGAAAAGCAGTCTGGGGGCAGGGGGTACATAAAATTGCCACAATGTTATTTTGTTCTGGTGCTTTAGTAACAAACATCTGCAAACATAAGCTGTTGCCGAAGGATCCTTCATTCTGCTGCTGCTGGTCCTATTGGGTTTGCCATTTGGCTGGAGCAGGGAGGGCTGCTGCTTGTGGGAAGAAGGTCCCCTGTTAAAACTGGAGAATTAGTCGCGCAATAATAGCAAACATTTATTCAAGCGTCTGGAGGACTAATGCCATTTTGATTTATTGCTTACTTCAATTTATGGGCCACTTTTTAATTTTATTCTTCCTCAAATGGCTTATAATCAGTGTTAAAACATACTGTATTATGTTTTATGGCATCCTGATATCAGGCTGTAGGAAGGGAGATTTCTGTACAAACAGTGGGGTTCTATAGATATTATTTGGTCTTTGCTTGTGACCTAGCAACTTTCTAAAAGCATTTTCCTTCCATCCAAAAATGTGCAATAGCCTAGTGTATGTTTCAGGTTTAAATATGGGGAAATACATTTGAACTCTGAGTTGTCTGAACATATAGGCATATTCCCTTCCTTCCCTCTTTTTCGCCCAATTATTATTGGGTAGAATCGACTTCAAAAAAACTAATCCCTTGAAACCTTGTGTTTGCTGTTCAATAACAAAGGGTATCATGCTATGATGGGATTGCAGAATTCTTGCCGTTCTGCCAAGGAGCAGGGAGATAGGCTTCATGCAGGTTTTTTCCATTGAGTTATCTGCAAAATCTGTCAGGGAGCCCTATGTTTTGCTTATCTACCCAGTAAGAAGTGTTTATACACCTGTGGTGCCTGCTCATACAGGTCTGAATGCGAAAGAGACTAGATAAGCAATGCCAAGTCAAGGGACATTAAAGACCTTTGCTGAGCCATATGCTGGCTCCCTCGTCTTGAATTCACAAGGCATAAAACCATTGCATCAAACAATAAATGAGAACACTTGGAATTCAGGCTGTCAAGTACTGAGAATTGCCTGGACTGAGCAGTGCAACTATGTTTTATCTTCAACATAAGATTCTTAAATAAGCAAGAAATTTGAGATACTAAAATTTGTGAAGAAATTAGAATCAGAATTTAAGCATAACAAAGAGGTCCTGGGACCCCGCTTCCCCAAATCACTACTTCCACTGCTAGCACCGTCAAAGATTAGAGCAGGCATAGGCAAATTCGGCCCTCCAGATGTTTTGGGACTACAACTCCCATCATCCCTAGCTAGCAGGACCAGTGGTCAGTGACGATGGGAATTGTCTCAAAACATCTGGAGGGCCGAGTTTGCCTATGCCTGGACTAGGGTAACCAATTTGAGCTCCTGATAAAGCTGGGAGAGATATTTGTTTGCTTTGCAAGCCTGCCTAATTTGCTCTGAAACAGCTGTCCTTTGAAATCAACATTTTTCCCAACCATAAATTTGTGCAGAAAGGCATGTATTAGGAGAAAGTGTGCCTGGAAATGCAAGTACCAGGAAGAATAAGCATACAAAATGCATTCCATTAGGGGAAACTGATCACAAAAAAATGGGGGGGTGGAGGTTGCATTAAAAAAAACACCCCATACAGCTTTGCATGCAGATTTTGCAAGCTGATGTGGACATTGGGTGAATTTAAGACTGGGAGAAAAAAAGACACCAAGAGACACCAACACAAAGAGATTATTCCATCCCTTCTCCAAGAGCTGAACAGTAAGTACAGTAGAACAGCATATTGAATGCTCTACCTCAAATTATTTGGTCATTCATATTTATTGCTCTCTGCATGTAGGGCAATAAATATTAGAATATCTGCATTACATTCTTTTCTGGAATGATTTTGTTGTTGCTGCACAGATCAATATTTAACTGCTCAGCTTTGTAAAAAAAGAAAAGCAGCAGCAGCAGCTTGGCATTCAGACCATGTTCAATACATATCTCATTAAAACAAAAAGATAAAAACACTTTCCCCAGCTTTGGCAGAGCTGCAGTGGTATTTCCAGCTCATGATATTTTTTGCTACAGACAGTGATGCTAGTGTTAGATGTTCACTTAGGACTGCTAATGTTCCAGCTTAGGGTTGGGGAAATTTAAGGCCTGAAGCCAAATCTAGCCCTTCAAGCTTCTCTTGCTAGTCCTTAGGACTTTCCTCATGCCAAACCTCTCAAATTACCTTGCTTTGAACTCCCCTTGAAGATTTTTTGCCTTTCTAGAATGTGTCCTCAAACTCTGATAACACCTTTTGCTTGCCTGGTGGATTTGTGAAATATTTGAGTATGACAGGTTCCAGTGGATGAGACCAATAGTGGGTCTGATGGTCAAGAAGGCAGATTCTGCATGTGCTGTAGAGGGAAGTCAGGAGCAGGTGGACCTTGTCAACCTGGGAAGATAGCCCATTTGGGAGAAAGAAAACTCTGATCCTAAACCTCTGCTGCCTTGTGGGATATCTTCAGGAGAAGAAAATGCTAAGGAGTAAACCCTACACAAATCCAGAGTAGAGTCCCTAAGACAGTTGGATGGCACATTGTATGCTTCCTTCTGGCAATTCCTGCCATCAAGCCAAGCTGGTGCCAGATGTATTGCTCTGCTTTCCTTTGGACCACATCAGCAAGGTGGAGATGAGGGTCATGTCCATCTGGGCAGCTTTCAGTCTGATGAGGTCAATTTGGTGTTGGTAACACCGTAGTTTGACTTCACCCCTGGAGATGCACTCCATTTTCTTTTGTGACCAACAGATGCCAACAAGAAGAGATGGGTGTGTGGGTAGGCATAGAAAACTAGTCTATTGTACACAGGTAAAATATGCATTTGTTGCTCCATCCACTCCTGCCTCTGGACCTACCCAGAACTGGAATGTACCCCCAAGAAGGTATCTCAGAAAGGGTTGTGGCCCTTGGATTGAAAAAAACATTCCCCAACCCTGTTTTCACTAGTGAATGCCAACAGTTAAAAAAGAAACCCAAGACTTCTTGGATTTTGAGAAAAATCCCATCACAGAGGATGTCCTAGCTGATCAGATTTATGCTTCTTTCCTATGTACACTCACCTGTCAGTATGCTGCCTTGAGCTCAATGGAGTTTATTTCTCAGTAGACATCTAGGATTGCCCTGTTGATGAAACTGAGGGCAAATGAAGGCACAGTGAAGGCTAATGAGGCCAACAGCAGTAAAGGCGAAGAAGAAAAATAATGTCAGGAAGTAGCAGCAGCAGCAGCAGCAGCAGCAGCAGCCAGGGAAACAGAAGGGTATCAAAACAACACAGAAACAACCAGAATGTTCAGAAATTTGTTTTGTCAGCAATTAATTCAGATGAATCAGATAACCTAATTGCAAAGAAGATGTTGAAATTAGCAATTATCCAGTGCCTGCAATACAATGTTGAGCTCGTTTTGATTGTCATAGTCTCTCCAAAGGAATACTTTAGTGATGGGATCCTCAACCTTTTGGGGGTCCAGGGGCTCAACTGGATATCTGAAAAAATATGTGGTTGGCACCAGCAAATACTCATTTCACAGAAGAAAAACAGTAAATGCTCAAATCTCCCCCCGCCCCCGCCAAGAAGCACCCAGGTAGAACACCTATACACACCCCGACACAAATAGAACATACACAAAATAAAAGCAGGCAACATCACTGAACCAAGAACGAAAGAAAGAAAGAAAGAAAAAAGCCACAACCCACTAAGGGGCGCGGGGGGGGGGCCTTCAGGAGAGGTCTACAACATCCAATGTATGCTGAGATGCCCTCTCAGGGACCCACAGAGTTGCACCCTAAACCTGCCATTTTCTCCCACACTCCACCTTGAGACATTGACTCAATTCAGACTTTTTGGTTTGGGTTTCAAACCAGCATTCTTCCCCCATCTTATCCTTAACATTTGCTTAGCAGGAACATAGGCATCTCAGTGACTCAGATCACTGGTCCATCTAGCTCAGTATTGTCTACTCTGATGGGCAGTGACTCACTGAGATTTCAAA